TCCAGATAAACTACATCCACAGCCCTTCCCAGATGGTGCCTTTGCATGTTCGCATCATGCCAAGAACTGTCACCCCCCACTTACAAGCTGAAGGAAAAAAGAAACACAAGCGATGAGACAGCCATTTCCTCTACTAAAATAGATCCTCCACCTGACCCTACATAACACTTGGTTTAAAATGCCACTCTATCCCTCAGCTGCCTTTAGGAAGCCACAGTCAGGTATTTCATTAATTTCTGTGTTCCCCTGACTTCTGTGACTGCGTGTAGGGCCTACACAGCCATCTTACACAGAACACCACATACGAGGCACATCAAAATGGATTTGGCTCCAGAGCTCCATTTAACTCACCCATATCTTTTTCAATCCACTTGTACATCACTCCTTTTACGTGAACATCTCTAATAGCATCCTAAAGAAAAGGGCAGAGGAAAAAAGTTTCAGTTTTCCATACAGTATTCCTGTTTCCCAGCACGCAAACCCATTGCCACCGTTAAGGATGAATACAGCAATGACACATCCCCTCTTCTTGCTGAATGAACAGAAGCTGCGGGGCTCATCAACATGCCAAAAAGAACATAGTGGCTAGCTCAGCTGATGCAGTACAAACAGAAAAAACTCAGAACTTATCCACGAAAGCACCATTTCCTGCCTGCTCCTGGAAACCTGCACATATTAACACATTTTTGTCAAGGCAATCGAGACTGTGACATTCCAAAAACATTTACTGCCCCAAAACCGTACCGGCCCAGACAGTGGCTGGCTTTTCTTCCTCCCAATGCCTGCGGAAGCTCTGCTGAATGTGACTCAAAGGATGGGAGCATGGCCGAGGTGAACAGCAGCAGAGGTGAGCATCTGTGTTTCCAAAACACTCCCCACAAGCCGAGGAGGGCTGCAGCTCCCCGGCCTCAGATCACCCGTGGGAACAGGCAGAGCAGAAGCTTCCACTAGAAGAGTGACTTATTTTTATTTTTTTCTTACCAAAACAGAGCTGCCCACTTTTCACGAGGGAGGCAAGTATAACCAGATATTGTCAAGGACTTCCAAATATCCTCTATTTACCAGGCCAGGGGCCTGCTGCAACACATTTTTGGACATACCCAACTGAGATTCCTCCCAAGTGTCCATCCAATGAGACATGCCAGATACTCAAAGCCATTTCCAGAGCAGCATCACATTTTGCAGTGTTTGCACATGGAATCACTTGTTTTAACGGCACTATTTTCATCCCCGACAATGTAGACAGGTAAACAAATGCTGCTGTTCCCCAGGACCCTTGAATCCCAGTTACACTACAGGTGCTCCATCAGGAGTTGCCCTTTCAGACTGGATTCCCACCCTCACCACTGACATTGCTACACTGACACTTGCACACACCACCAGTCACCTGGTCTCGTGGCAGCGCTGGTGAAACCTGCTCATCACCCCAGAAATCACTTGCTTCAAAGCTGAGTGAGAACCAGAGTTTACAAACTGAGATGAGGGACGATGAAGGAGGAGGCAGCATCTCTTCAAAACAGAGCTTTAGGAGTCTCTTTCCACTATGTGGATTTGAATGGTAAAAAGGCAGAAGTCACACCTCATTCACCAAGAGACTGCCTTATTGGAAAGAAGCAACAAAAAGCAAGAGCACTAACAAAAAAACAACTTTCTCTTGACCAGCACTGGCATGAAAAGCAAGCAACGCTTCAGATTTGTCTCAGAACTACATATGCAGAGCAGAAGGAGATTCCAGTGTGCTCTTTCTCTAAAGCCCTGCCATCCAGAAAGCAAAAGGAAAATAAAAAAGGAAGAGGAAGAACTGTAAAGTTCCTGCAGGTAAAATCTTGGTAGCCTGGGGAGGTGTCAAATAGTGCTCAAAAACTCCTCCAAAGGAAAGCAGGGTAAACTGTACCTCCTTACTCTCAAATCTGTAACAACCAAACTGGTGTGACAGGACTGCTCAGTTTACGTTTCAGCTTCAACCTTTACCATTGCCTCAGGGTCTGCCCTTTTGACACAGTGCAGTGTCTCTAGCACTCTGCCTGCTCCTAAACACACAGCACTACAGTCAGGATTATAACTAAAAATTACAGAACAGGTCAGGTTTAGACATATCCTAACTCACTGTGAGCCTGTGTTGTAACTCAGTGACCCCTCAGACTCCTCAGGAACAACCACATCCTTCACCAAAGGATGTGAAGACAAAATGACAGGATTAGTACTCAGGAGTTTTGGGCCCTGAGCACACCGTCTGCCCTGTATTGGGTATGTATTAGGCTATGGCAACCACCCACCTGCTCACAAGATTTCAATTAGGAGTAAATCCATTTTGACCTCAAAAGAAGGCCAAGAAGACACTCCTGACAAAAAACCTCAGGATTCAGCTGTATCCCCTCTTCCTATTTTCCCCACCCCAAGAGTGAAAATAACTACAACAACTAACACCCTAGAAACACATTAAGGTCTTGCAGGAAACTGCCTGGCATGGTCTTATCAAGCCCTGACACAAGGACAGAACGTAAGCTGTAATCCTTGGCTGTAGCAGAGCTGACAGGGTGGATCCTTATCACAAAAGCAGCAGCACAGATGTGGCTTTTCCCTCACAAGAAGACTGAGCAGTGTACGTATAAGGCTGCCACCAGCGGATGAGCATAAGATTCCACAAGGTACAAATAAAAAAACCCCACTCCATGAAAAAAAGGCATGCAATAAGGTTTGGGTACCAGGGGAGGTGCATCATCTGTCAACAAAAAAACTTGCCTGCAGGTTTAACTAAGAAGTCAAACAGTATCCCTTAACAATGCTGCTCATGCCTCACAGCCCTTTCAAATGCCAGAAGGGCAGAGTTAGCACCCTGGAGTCACTGGCTCTTGAAAGCTACAGTCACCCACTGGAAAACACCCCAAAAGGATCAGGCTACTCTGTACCTGCAAAGGAGAGGGGTGGATTCTCAGAGCAGGTGTTTCACAGCAATTGCTGTATAAAACAAACTGTTTGGTACATGGCCAGACCAAGCCTCTTTGAAAAATGAGATATTAACAGGAAAACACAGAGCTTAAAAGCCTGCAGAATCAGAAAACATTTACACAAATCTGTGATATATTTACCACGGAAGTGCCTTCGACCTAACCAGCCTAGGTGCTCCTGCAAGAGATAATGTACAGCAACACCAGCTCTGTAGTGCAGAGAGAAACCTAACATGTTCTGAAACACAGCTCTGAATATTCCCTAGTAATGCTTTAATGTGAAGGTGCAAAACACTGTCATGTTAGGCTACTCACTAACAGCCCCTTAGGTCTGGGTACTGCAGAGCTCACCAGTGCTAACAAGAGAGCTCACAACTCTGATGTGGTATGAGCTATGGGACAGTTGACGTTTTCCTTACCGATATGTCCTTGTAAAGATGCACTTGGTCAAACTCAATGCCATGAGTTATGAAGTAATCAATGACTGAAGAGAGCAGCGTCATTTCAGGAAGAGAAAAAATGTCCATAAACTGCTTAAGTGATGGACCCTGGAAAGCAAAAACAAAATGAAGGAGACACATTAAACAAAAAATACTCACCAAAAGAAAAAAAAAAAGGCAGCAAATGCAGCAAACAAACTGCATCACCCAGCACTGTCTGGAAGACGTTGCAGGCTAACAAAAAGAAAAACATGCGGAATGTCCAGGCACTCAGCAAGTAGACCCCTCTTCTCAACCAAAATACTAACCTAATGCATTAGCACTTGACAAGAGACGCTTCTCCTTCACCAAAATCACTGAACAAAGCCATCATCATTAACACCATGGGGTGAAGGTGGATGACACAGGGAGTCAGTTCCAGACACTGATTTTTATTTCAACCCCATACTCCACCTGACCTCTTTGCCTTACCACAGGTGCCAACAGACAACACTGCTACAGGAGCAGCTAAGGTCCATGCAAGAGGTGCCCATCTAAAGCAGGCTGTGACACACGGGCACCAAGGCTGCTCTAACCACATTCCAGTGAGGTTTCACACAGCAACGCAAGAATCACTCCAACAAGCCGTCTGTCAATGGCTGCCTGCCCTTAAGTCACTACAGAAAACCTGAAGTGGGCACAAAGAAGAAAAAAACCAAAAAGAAAAGAACTTCAGCCCACCCAGCAGACAAGTGGAAATGGGCAATTAAATCCTGACCAAGGAGTAACTCCCCTTGCATTAGTTAAGGTTGCAGCTCTCCCATACATTTGCTATTTTTATTGCCTATCAATCACAAACCTATCAGCAGGTCAACAGCCAAGTTTGGTTCCAGAGAGGCCATCCAGTACTTGTTTATTCAGTATGTTCCACCTGTGCAGAGGACCATGGCGAGTCTCAATGGTCAGCTGAAGCTGGAACCACTTTTTTCATCTTTCACTGCTGAAGTACCAGATCAGCCAAGGGGACAGTTACTGAGGTCTTGCACAGGAAAAGCAAGTTGGGAACTCTCTCTGAACCCAGTCACCAGAGGTGCCCTGGCAATCCAGTCACACCATGCCTGTGCATGTGAGCTTTGAGCAATGCATGAGTGACAGCCACAAAGTTGCAACTCTCCAGGATAATACTGAACCACATCAGAAGGCATTTATTATACGAAAGACAGGCACGAAAGCAGCATCTGAAAGATCACAGAAGGTACACGTGGTAGAGCTGACAGAGTACACATCTTGCCTAACAAAAAAACCACGTGCCATTGTCATGTCAGGATGTAACAAGTAACACCTCCCATTTAATCTGGTCTCATAAGAGTAGAACAAGAGACTACACTCTTCGCAGCACTATCTAAAGGCAACATTGAGGCAACACAAGTTGGGGCCAAGAAGGAATGATGCAAAAAGGGCAAAGGAATAACAGAATTTTGCCCGAGGTCTATTACCAAAACCTGCTGCGATGAAAAGCTACATCGGTGTGCTGAGAGTTATACAGTTTCCATCCATCCAGCACAGGACAACTTGACCTAGAGCTGATTACCAATACTTGCTGAATTCTTTCAATAGATTTCTGTCCATTTGGATGTGTAGCAGCTAAGGGAACATTTCTCCAACTAGAAAAACCAAAATTTCCTGAAAACGGTCCCCACCTTCTTTTCCTGTTCAAGATTCAGAGAAAGGAGCAAGAGGGACACAGACAGACAGTTCCTCCTGAAATCACTAGGTCTGGGGCTTAGCAGAGCACAGCAGAGCAATGATCTACCCCACCAAGACCTTAAGCATAGAGGAGACAGTTAAATGTTCGATGTTAATGGCAAAGACTTACCTTGTAGGTAGTCAACTCAGATTTCGTTTTTGTGCCTCATGCCATCATCCTACAAGGCAAGTCCAACCTGACCCACTTCCCTTAGTGGCCTCAACTTCCTTACAGCAGACACATTGGCACAAGTCAGGATGAAGACTGGATCACAGCTTTAGAAAGAATGCTACATACGCTTTTTCAACAACACACAAGTTCCCCACCTTTGTTACAGGCCAGCACTAGTCCTGACAGCAAAAGCCACACGAGTAGCATTGCCTAACCGTGGGCCAGATCTGTGTCTTCCTACTGCAGGTGCTGGGATGCCAGTAGCTGTCTACACACTCCTGCCAACAGAGAAACCCTTAAGGGAGAAATTTTACACACTCCAGCTACATCAGTCCCGCTTATGTTACGCCTTGTTGTCTGGATCACTGACCTGACAGACCTATTAGTTTATGGAGTTCACTTCATTATTAGGAGAGGAGATTCGGCTCTTTGCAAAGAATAAGCTGCTATTCCTATTTCTGTGGCTGAATGTTACACCATATATTTCAGGACTAAACTACAAAAGAGTAAAGAACACCTGGTACGTATAAAGCAGCACAGAAAGGCAGCTTGGCATGAGCATCTGGTCCTACAAAAGGCCACGAGTCTAAGCAGATTTCATGCTTACAATTATTTAAAAAGAAAAGTGGAATCATCTTGAGTTTGTTAAGAGTACGGGGAGTTGCATAGAGGGAGTTGCACAGAGGAAGGCTAATCGAGTGCAGTTTACAGACATACCAAATCTGAAAAAGAAACATCCTATTTCAAAGCTGGAAACAACACTAAGCTATAAACAGAGTATGTGCTTATCCAGAAAGCAACCACTCAGATTAATTGTTCCCGAGAGAGAGAGAGAAATCAAAAAGTGACCCTGTTGGAGACTTCACACAGCAGACTCAAAGGGGTACTACCAGAGGAAGCCTGCCCTTCTCCTTCCAGCTTCCCCTAAGGCAACTGAACTAACAAAGGGCAAGAAACAAAGCAGTTCTGGGGGCAAAGGGATGTGAATGGCCCTGGCCTCGCTTGCCTACTGCACCACGACAGGCACTTAAGGAAGAAAAATTGCTTTAACTAGAGGAAGTTAGGAGAAATCAAAGCTCCTATGGACAGACTTTCTGTCCTTTACTGTGACAGCAAGCTTTTCTGCCTGAAAAAAACCCAAACCACCCTAGCACTCATGGATGTCAACCCTATGAGTAATATCCACTGAGTAGGTTTGAAGAGGTGTGGAGGGGGCATCCCTTTCGTGAAGGAAAAAAACCCAGTTTTCCCAAAACTAAAGAGAAAGGCATTGCAAGCACCCTGTTGCTACACACACATACCGTCTCCCACAGAACTCACTGCAAACACTTCCACTGCAGGCTGCCCTGGTAGGTTGGGAGCTAGATTTGGGAAAAAAAACAAGCAAGGAACATTTCCCAAACAGTCTCCAGAGCCATTCAGCTCTAGGCCAATAGCCCTGGTGTTTAGGAAAGCTTTGAAGACAGCTTTCACATGCTAAAATGCTAAATAACCTCTGGGGCAAATTCCCACTAGAACAAAAACACACACTGCAGCTCACTGGGGACTGAGGCTTTTGGAGTCCAAGGGAGGCTGGAGTCATTTACATGCTCAGATAATTCACTCTCTTTCCTAGCTGTTAAGAGAGCTGCTGCATCATAGCAGTAAAGGGTTTACAATACCTTGCCATAGAAGTCACTCATCTGGTACAGGGGGATGTGCTGTGTACCACCGTAGAGTTCGATTACCTCTTCGTCAGGCACTGGTTTGAGCCCTCTAGACATAAAAATGACATAAACAGTTTGTCACTCACCAGTTGGCATAGAGCTACGAACTGCAGAGGAAGAAGACAGGACAAACAGGCTCCTTTCTAAAACTCACACATTTCTCTTGCACAAAAGAGATAACCAGAGACACACAGCTCCATGGTTTCTTAAGATTCACATAAAAGCTTTCCAGAGACATTTTTCAGAAACCTTGTTTGCTCCTTCAAGTTAATTGAGGGGTTTTATCCACATTTCAGCAGAGTTCAGGCAGAGGCCTCCCCCTGCATGCTGTCAGTCTGCTGACAGGACTGCCCCACCAAATCAGCCCAGTGAGCTGACTCTGGCAGCCCTGGGTGACTAGTTTTGGAGAAGTTGCTGCCACGAGGCATATCACCGTTAAATGCAAAGATGTAGGACAAGAGCTTTCTGAAAATGGGGTTTCCTTCCGGTTCAGTCTTCCTAAGCAAGATGGTCTTTGCTAAGACCATTCAACAGATTGCTGGTTTTCCCCAAAACCACTGTGATCACGGACATGTCTATGAGCTGTACTGTTCGTGAACATGAGGTTATCTGACTGCTGATTTTGCCTCTTGCACAGCTTTTGATGGCTGTTTACTCACACAGTCCACAAACTTCCCTTTCTCCTTTCCTATTCAATCCTGGTACAGATCCGAGAAGTTACACTTGCCAGTTGTGCTCAAAAGCACAGGACAGTTTAGGAAAACGACACTCCAAGAGGGATTGTTACAGATGGATAATAAGGAAAAAAAAGTTTAAACACATTTTAGCTAAAAATCTCTTTATGAAGTTGAAGTAAAATATAGGGCAGTACCAGCACCTCCTTTCCACCCCCCAAAAGCCAGCACTCAAAGAAGCCAATTCTCTCCGATTATGAAACTCTTCTTAATATTCTTAGAGTGTTTACTGTAACTGAAGCTTAACAGCAAAAGGGCAGAGTTCAAGGAAAAAAACAACACTGGCTTCCATGCTCAGGAAACACAACACAGATTTACAGGATCTTTGCTACCGTTATCTGTGAATTACTCCTTCTTACACACCAACCCCACTCCACATTGAAGCAAGGTTTTCTCCCAGTCTCCAGTCTCACAAGTTTTTGGAGAAAGTTTGTCCTGCACTGTTTCCACCGGGTATTCCAAACCACACCCAGCTCTGCTTGGAGAGCAACAGAAATGAAGTAAAAATAGGACAACCTAGGCCTAAAACTGAGCCCAGATTCTGATGCATTATTGCTTTACTGACATGTCTGCACTGCTTTAAGATTTTATTTGCAAATCCAGAGCACTCTCCTGGTAGCTTTGTGACAAGGCACAGCAGGCCACTGCTGGAGAAGACAGGGAGTCCTTTCCTAGTTGCGCTGTTTGCTCACAGACATTAACCCAGGTGTTACCAAAATATCAGCTCAGTAACTTTCTAAGACCAGTTTGTAGGAGTTAGAAAACAAGACATTCTTTAATTCGGCGCTGGGAGCACACATGTATCATTTCATAAATTGAATGCTCAAAGTATTAGCGGTTGCCAGCAGCTTATATGTGCCTCACACATACATATTGATGACATAAAAAGTTTACATATGTATTACATTTCCAGTAAAAGGTTTCCATATACACTACATTTCCCGTAACACGCTCCATTAGCACGTGGAGTGGTCTTCCAGTGGTCTGAGGAACAGTCACTTAAGCTGTGCAGCCTTTCAGGCTCCTGTGCACCTGTTTTCACAAAGCCTGACTCCTCAAGTTGGTCTGAGCAGGGTGATTCAGTAACTTCTTATCTGTGCCTCCATCCCGCAAGGCAGAGCCAGTGAAGTGGGCCTCACACAGACTAAAATCCTGTTATCCTTATGCAGCTTCTTCCTAGCTAAAGTTAGTCAATATATGAGTATAAGAGTATAAGAGTATTTCTTGCACTATCCCGTCTATCAGGTTACACATGCATATTGCAGCTGCAACTCAGGCGTCACGCAGAGTACGTGACCAGATGTGCTATTAACCATTACAAAACGCTCCAGGCCTTGCCACCCACACTTGGCTCAAAATGCTTGAGAAAACAAAGTCTCCCTTCAATGGTGTGCTAGGTAAGCATTAGAAGCGAGTGCAAACAGGGTAAGTCAGACAAGCCTGTGTTCTGTTCAAAAAAACCCCATATGCCATGAACATACACCCAGATTTAGTAATCCAACTTTGCATATATGGGCATGTAGAAAATAATTTGCACGACTGACAGACCTATATGCTGTCCCCAGCTGGACATAATGGAAAGCATCGATCTTCATCAGAAGACTCTGTGATAAGGGATATTTACTGTTAGAACGGAGTAAGTTTACACTGAAACCTTATTTACATTTCAAGTTCCACACAAATGACATTTAGAAAATAAAATTCAGTATAAACATCTCACATCTATGTACTTTAAGTTGCACTTACTCTTCAGTCACTTCTACACACACTCGCACATACTGTGACCTTCTACTGGCCTCTCTGGCAAAATACCATCTTTCTATCAGCCACAGTATCACTGTCTGTCACACTCCAAAGTGTGTGGACAGGGATGCAGATGAAAACTGGAGAGAACAATGTTTCTGTGACTCAAGACAGTCTCTCCTTATCTCCCTTCCAAAAGCACGCACATTCCAAAGGAGCTCTGTGTGCACAAGAGATCTATTTCTCCTCACATTTGTCTTAAGCAGAACTAAGTGGGCAAGTTTTTGTTTATAGTGCAGCTGTGCCGAGTCATTTTCTTCACACAGGAGCTGTCCCCTCCTCCCCTTCTACCACTCCCCAACAGACACTTAAGCAAAGATGCTCATGATCACACCAGGCCGGTAACACTAGAGCTTTATTTGCATTTTTTTGTACCAGACTCTCCTGTTCATGAGTCACCCCTTCTCCTCCATCCATCATTCTGAAGCTGTAATACAAGTTCTCTGGCAATGGGAAGCGGCCTCACACTAAACCACATTGCTCTGAATTCGAATAAGGACACAGCATCAAACTATCTGTGCTGTTTCTACCACAGTGCAAGGAAATTGATCCCACAGAGCATTTGCAGCCTTCAGGCACCTTCTTTTATCACGATGCCGTATCGGTGCAGTTTGTTACACCGTGGGCAGATGTTCCCCTAGCTTGTGAGGAGTACAGGCAAACTTGATGAAAGATTTGCTTAGACAGGCACCACCCAGTTTTTCGTGTGTTTTGCAAACTCTGATCCTGAGGAAAGAGAGTTCTTGCTTTCTACTCACTCAAAAGGCACTTAGCTTGGCTAGGCTAGTCACCTCTGTTTCTGATATATCAGCCAGAGATTTAAACAGAGAAAGAAACTTCAATTTGTCACTACCTCTTACTTTGTAAATTCAGAGGCATGAGCAGTCTGCTGCCATGCTGTCACTGCCATTAGGACAGCACACACACTCCAGCCTCCATTGCCTGCTTCCCCGAATTAACTCAAAGCTCAAAATAAGAAAAACTACTACAGTAAAGCAACTTCCTCTGCTGTGCTCCCACCTGACTGGAGCAGCCAGTCAGCAGACAACGCTGGGCATCAGGCTTTCAGAGAATCCAAAGCTCTGAAAAGGATTAAAGCTAATGCTTGCACTTTGCTTGCCGGTGCTCCTAAGAAGCATGCATCTCAAGTAGCTTGGATCTTTTTCTAGGCACTCCTATTATTCGGGGTAAGGGGTGGGGAAGGCATTCTCCTGACAAGTAATTTCTATTATTAGAGTACAACATAACGCCTAATGGACTGAGGTTTGTTGCTAAATTTCCTGAAAGACAGAAATGATTACACAAGCAAGCTGCGTTTTCTATTAATTAGCTTGTGGAATTAACTGACTTAAAACGGCAAGGCTGTTTACCAGAAGTCTTTGCTAGAATGTCCCATTCCACTAGAGGCTATGCAAACACCAAAGATACCTTTCCCTTAGAAGGTTTATAAGAACCCATGCTATGAAAAGCACAGCCCCCAAGACTCACTGATCATTTGGTGATCGATGTTATTGCAAGCAACGACAGTAAAGTATTTCCACTAAAAACATAATGCAATGGAAAGCAAAGCCCAGGAGACTGAACACTGTACAGCTTACCTTTTGTACATCATAGTGAAGTCCACGTATGGCAAACCCAGGGATGTAGTCGTACTTCCCAAGCCCTTCTGGATACTAAGACGACACACAGTGACATCGTTAGAGGCAGAAGCATTGAGTTATCAACAAAACTATTTCACCTGTTGAGCTGGCTTAGTCCTATTAGGACTCTCAGGTGAGGCATACACTGACCAAGAACAGGTGCACTTCATTTTGCCCCTTCAAACAAAGAAAGTAGATGAATGGAGAAAGACATAAAGGATCAGGATCCCCAAAACTAGTTTTTCTCATGTAAGGGACACCAGTGAAAATATAACAGATTCACTCAGGCAGTGAGGACATTTCCAGTAAGCCCCATTCAATGCATATATTTGGCAAAGCATTGGCACTGCAGAACCCCTCTAAAAAGAAAGACATGATGAGAAGAAAATGCATAGACCAGTCACTACTGCAAACATGGACATGCTATACAGCATCACCCATACTGACTCGCACACATCAAGTCCTGTATATCTTCAGTGTTGGCCCACGGTTCACGTTTATCCTCCACACGTACCTCGAACTACCAATTCTGTAGGGATTATTTCCACAGTTAAGTAAAACAGACCAGACCTTTCTAGACTAAGGCTCCTGCTCCATATTCATAAAACCTCAGAGATGTAAAGTGTGGTAAATTGACTCAAAGGAAATTATTTCCATGAAAAGACAAAACTTTCTGCAAAGATTGTGAAACTTGAAATTTATCTCAATAAAACAAGTAATGGACACATGCAAAATGCCGCACTTTGCAAGCATATCTGGGGCATCACAAAGACAGCAGTAAGCTTAATTGAGTGGAAATTCACACATCATTACCTTGAATTGTTCTATTAGGATGTCTCTGGCAGTGTTGAAAATCATAGAGTGTAGTAAATTAGAATACTGTGCTAATGTGTAATCGTAGTCAAAGCCATATATCTCAACATCTCCCAGGCTGATCTCATTGTTAGCGTAGATAGCGGCTGGGTTGAGGAGATTGCAGACTCCTGGTGGAAGGAGATCTAAGAGAAGGTAAAGGGGAGAGGTTAGAGAAACTGAGAGGATCACTGAAATTTCAACTTCTTGTTCTGGACCTGACAGCAGCTGGAAGTACCACACAGCAGGAGCAAAGGAGTACAGTGGTCAGAGGTGGCTGCCGTTGACCCACTGAAATAACCTTCCCCGGGAAAAAACATACTGTGAAACCTCTGGCTGTGTCTGCGGATGATGTTAACCACTTTCACAGTAAGACTGACCTTTTGTGTCGGGAAGCCACAAAACAATGTCCTCTGGTCTCTGGCCTTTATGAAGCAAAGCAGGCTTGAGATTTTTGAAGTGTCAAATTTCTAGCTCAGAGCAGCTGCATTTTCAGCAGGCTTACCAATGTGAAAGGCAGCTGCAATGTATCACCAGAAAAACATGTGCCCCTCACTTAAAACGTGAGCAGGACAAACAGGCTAACTCTCCTCTTTGAGAAATCTAGATTACTTCAAATTAGAAATGTTGAGATTTGCCTTTTGGCATTTTTTGTTTCTCACAGAAGCAGCTAGACTTCACAGAGCAATCCTGTGGGCACCATTAGGGCTTTTTTGAATTATGACTACTATTAACTGGCACAACAAAACAAGGTTTTGTACAAACACCAACAAAATGTAAAAAGAAACACATTAAGCTACGCTCTTGCAGCACGTAATACTGATAGCAACAAGTTATCTGCTTTCCCCCGATAAACAGCTGTGGAAACAGCTCAGCTTTGTAAGTCATTCGTCACTTCAAAACAGGGTTACTACTGTTCCACATGCTTCTGAGTAACATTTTGCTCCCCAGACCACTGGGAAAAGGGGGGTGAAGTGACCTAGCAGCTGAACTACCTGTATATCCCTTTTCAGAGCTAGTTTAGAGAGAGGAGAGCTTTAGCTGCACTAAATGGGAGAGACAGGAACAGACCCTCCCCAGGCGTCCCGCTCCATGAGAGCTGTCCATTGCATGATGAGAGAGCAAGAAAAATAGCTCCCTGTAGGAGGGACACAGCCGAGTCACATCCACACTGGGGGACAGAGAGGGGAAGGAGACACTTCCCCCCTCCTCAAAGATGGGTAATTTTCTCTTTGAATGATAGCAAAAGCGCAGACGTTTTCCAGATCCTATGCAGCATCAGTGGGTAAGATTTTTTTCCCTTCCTACCTTAACTTTTGGCTTTTAGCAAGAACCCCTGTGCCAGTTCTTTAGTGCTTCCTTGCTATAAACCCAAGTCTCATCTGAATCTAGAACAAAAAATACGTTATTAGAAAGAGACATCAGCCATTCCCAATAAAGACTCTGTCTGGAATGATTACAGGATTTAGGTAAAAGTCCACAGTACATTTGTGAGCACTGATCCAAAGAGGTGACCAAAGCAGCAGGGTTCAGATGTATCATAACATTTATTGTTCAGGGGAGACACGCATTACAAAACATAAACATCTCTCTCTCCTAATTCACTTGCCTTTGACCTTCAAATGCATTTAACCAGGTCAACCAGAGAGGAATTACTAGAAAAGCAAGCAGTATTTTAAGGCAGGAGGGCTGATTCACTGGCCACACAACAGAGACAAGAGCTCTTTCAGTGACTCTGCTGGTGGCAAAGTTCCTGGAAGAGGCTGAAGAAAGCAGATGCAATCAGAGTGCTTTCCACTGGGATTTTAAGAGATGAGAAATGTAACTAGGATTCAGATGATCACATCTTTTGTCCTCTAATCAGAAATGCTCTATGCACCGTAAATAAACAGAGCTCCACTTCCTGTCCTCACCTCCAGATAAACTGTGGAAAGATTTTTTCTAAGCATACTTTGGGATTTGTGAGGTGTTCTTTTTCTTCCTCACAAGGAAAATTACCTAACAGTGCAATCACATCACAGTGCAAATAGGCAGTGCTTTCCTCTTCTAATAAAAGCATTCTTTTTCTTTAATTTTTATTTGTTATTACAAATGCACCCCATTTGCTGCTACCGTATCACCACAGAGATGTCAAGCTCTTCCACATCCACCATTTACTAACAGATTTATGACAACACATTTTGATAGTCTCAGTTCAGTGCAAAATTCCACTGCCTGAATCCCATCTCCTCATTCACAGGAGACGTGACACCCATCGAGACTCAACACCAAATGCCAGACACAACGTTTGCAAAAATACAACCAGGAAAAGCTAAGGCAGCGGTACGATTTTGTAACAAGGAAAGGGCAGCATGAGATTCACCGAGTGCATGGAGCGAGTCTTATTTGTGATCAAAAGCATAAGCAGTAACTGTGCCACAGTATGATTTAGGAAGTATATTTAGACCCACTGGATGAAGTCATGCTCCTCCTTGCCAGCCTCAGGCATGCAGAACTTCACTGCTGTTCACCAACAGCCTCCTGCCCAGATCGTTTTACCCCACTCAGACATTTTGTCACTAACTCACACAACATGTTCACTTTTACCTCATAACAGCTGAAAAATATGCATACACTAACCAAAACACTTTATCACCATTGCTTCACACAATGTGTTCCCTACCTCCCAGAGCACCTCACATCATAGAACTGCTTGGCTTAGAAAAGACCTTTAAGATCATCGAGTCCAACTGCTAACCTAGCACTGCCAAGTCCACCACTAAGCTCATGCCACATCTACATGTCTTTTAAATACCTCCAGGGATGGTGACTCCATCCAGTTCCAGCATTTAACAAGCCTTTTGGTGAAGAATTTTTTCCTAATATCCAACCTAATCCTCCCCTGGCAATTTCCTCTTGTCCTATCGCTTGCCACTTGGGAGAAGAGCCCAACACTCACCTTGCTACAACCTCCTTTCAGGTAGCTGTGGAGAGCAATAACATCTCCCTTGAGCCTCCTCTTCTCCAGGCTAAAAAATCCCAGCTTCCTCCTCCTCAGGCTTGTTTTCCAGACCCTTCACCAGCTTCATTGCCTTTCTCTGGGCACGCTTCAGCACCTCAATGTCTTTCTTGTAGTGAGGCCCAAAACTGAACACAGTATTCAAGATGTGGTCACACTAGTGCTAAATACAGGGGCACAATCACCTCCCTACTCCTGCTGGTCACATCATTTCTGATCCAAGCCAGGATGCTGTTGGCCTCCTTGGCCACCTGGGCACACTGCTGGCTCACGTTCAGCTGGCTGTCGACCAACACCCCCAGGTCCTTTTCTGCTGCCAGACAGCTTCCCAGCCACTCGTCCCCAAGCCTGTAGCAGCATTGCACGGGATTGCTGTGACCCAACTGCAGGACCTCCCACATGGCCTTGCTGAACCTCATACAATTGGCCTGGGCCCTAGAGTCTGGCTTGGCCCTGAAGTCCATGTCCATTCCAGAGGCTGGGTTTCGGGAGTTGGTTGCTTGTAGAGTGAGGGTGGTGTTGGTGCAGTCCTTCTA